CCCCCCCCCCTTTCCTTCCTGCCGCCCCCCGCCTTTCCCTCTCTTCTTCCTTCCCCTCCCCCCACCCCCCATTCCCTCCCTTTCAAGAATTCTGCACATTACCAACGTTTTCATACATTATGGCAGTGATTACACACTAACTACATTTAATTTGCTTTTAAATGGTTTAGCACATCTTGAAGTTATTTCAAATTTGAAAAGTTCGATTCTACAGAACAAGTGTTTACCTTTAAATTTATTTATTGTTTCTTTCCACAGCCATTTTAACTCTTGTGCGTTAATAAAATGCTTTCTGTGGAATCTACTTAAATAGCTCGTTATTTGCTTAATCATGCATGTGCTAGGGACAGGTAATACCTTCAATTGTCCAACAAAAGTACTTCTCTTAATTCTGTGTTGCAAATAAAATGCAACAATTGCATTACAACATCCATAACGTTGTTATAAATGTACTGGTTCTATCACAAGGGAGGTTGGGCTGAAACCGTCGCATTTGAGAGTAAAATAACCTCATTCAGACTTTGTTGTGTTATGAACTAAGCAGGAAGTTGCACTGTTGCTGGCAATGGATTCATTTGGCAGCGCACAGCTCAGCACCATTACTCTTGGGCCATTGTACTGCACAATGTTTTCCTTGTAGAATGAAGGTGAATAGAGTTTGGCAGGCTGATCTAATAAATATATAACAGCAGTCTACTGTCGAGGGGAAGGGAGCTGTGCCTGAAGCATTTTGTTAGTCCAATCTTTTCATTTTTAAGAATGGTCTTAAGATAAGATGGGATGGTGAAAAGCTGCTGAGGATTATTAATTTTAGGTTATAGTACAGCCTCAATACAGCTGCTGATGGTGGAGCCAAGGAAGAATGGTGGTGCTGAACAGCCAGTTTGAGATGATTGGTGGGGATTGTGCTGATTAAGATGTTACAGAGGCAGGAAAGGGCAAAGCCTTGAATAAATTTCAATCAGTAGCATAAATTAATTTGAGGTGCTGGAAGATTATAGATGTTAATGTATGTTAACAAGTTAGTTATTATTCCAGCGGGACAATAAGGCAAAGTTACAGCGATCATGGGGGATTTCAATATGCAGGTAGACTGGGAAAATCAGGTTGGTAGTGGATTGCAAGAAAAGGAATTTGTGGAATGTCTACGAGATAGCTTTTTGGAGCAGCTTGTGGTGGATCCTACTAGGGAACAGGCAATACTGGATTTAAAAACAAAGCTGCTGGAAAAGCTCAGTAGGTCTGGCGGCATCTGTGGAGGAGGAAACAGGGTTAACGTTTCGGGTCCGGTGATCCTTCCTCATAACTGGATTTAATGTTGTATAACGAGGCAGACTTGATAAGGGAGCTAAAGGTGAAGGAACCCTTAGGAGTCAGTGACCATAATATGATCGAATTTACTCTGCAATTCGAGAGGGAAAAGGTAGAATCAGGGGTAACGGTATTACAGCTGAATAAAGTCAATTACAGTGACATGAGGGAGGAGCTGATCAGAATTGACTGGGAGAGGAGCCTAGTCGGAAAGACAGTGGAACAGCAATGGCAGGAGTTTCAGGGAGTAATTCAGGAGACACAGCAAAAATTCATCCCTAGGAAAAAGAACCGTGATACAGGGAGGATGAGGCAACCATGGCTGACTAGGGAAGTCAGGGATAGCATAAAAGCAAAAGAGAAAGCATATAATGTGGCGAAGGGCAGTGGGAAACCAGAGGATTGGGAAGCTTACAAAGACCAGCAGAGGGCAACAAAGAAAGAAAGAAATAAGGAGAGAGAAGATTAAATATGAGGGTAAGCTAGCCAGTAATATAAAGGAGGACTGTAAGGGTTTCTTTAGCTATGTAAAGCGCAGGAGTGGAATTTGGACCACTGGAAAATGACACTGGAGAAGTAGTAATGGGGAACAAAGAAATGGCGGAGGAACTGAATAATTACTTTGCGTCACGCTTCACAGTGGAAGACACGAGTAATATCCCAAAAATTCAAGAGAGTTGAGGGCAGAGTACGGTAGCCTCACCAAGGTGAAGGTGCTAGTAAAACTGATTGGCCTGAAGGTGGATAAATCACCTGGACCAGATGGACTACACCCTAAAGTCCTTAAGGAGGTAGTTGAAGAGATAGTGGAGGCGTTAGTGGTAGTCTTTCAGGAATCGTTAGAGTCAAGGAGTGTCCCAGAAGACTGAAAAATCGCTAACATGACACCCCTGTTGAAAAAGGGAATAAGGCAAAAGATGGAAAGTTACAGGCTGATTAGCCTAACCTTGATCGTGGGTAAGATTTTAGAGTCCATTGTGAAGGATGAGATTTCTGAATACTTGGAAGTGCATGGTAACATAGGGCAAAGTTAGCATGGCTTCATTTGTCATGCCTGACAAATCTGTTAGAATTCTTTTGAGGAAGTAAAGGGCAGATTAGACCAAGGAGAGCCAATGGATGTTATCTACCTGGACTTCAAGAAGGCCTCTGACAAGGTGCTGCACAGGAGGCTGCTGAGTAAGATAAGGGCCCATGGTGTTAGAGGCAAGGTACTAGCATGGATAGAGGATTGGCTGTCTGGCAGAAAGCAGAGAGTGGGGTTAAAAGGGTCTTTCTCAGGATGGCAGCTGGTGACAAGTGGTGTTCCACAGGGGTCCGTGTTGGGACCACAACTTTTCACTTTATACATTAGTGATCTAGATGAAGGAACTGAGGGCATTCTGGCTAAGTTTGCAGATGATACAAAGATAGGTAGAGGGACAGTTAGTATTGCGGAGGCGGGGAAGCTGCAGAAGGAGTTGGACAGGTTAAGAGAGTGGGCAAAGAAGTGGCAGATGGAATACAACGTGGAAAGTGAGGTCATGCACTTGATAGGATGAATAGAGGCATGGTCTATATTCTAAATGGGGAGAAAATTCAGAAGTCTGAAATGCAGAGACTTCGAAGTTCTAGTCCAGGATTCTCTCAAGGTAAACTTGCAGGTTGAGTCAGTAGTTAGGAAGGCAAATGTAATTTTAGCATTTATTTTGAGAGGACTTGAATATAAAAGCAGGGATGTACTTCTGAGGCTCTGTATGTGTCTGGTCAGGCTATGTTTGGAGTATTGTGCGCAGTTTGGGCTCCATACCTAAGGAACGCTGTACTGGCCCTGGAGCGGGTTCAGAGGAGGTTGACAAGAATGATCCCAGGAATGAAAAGTTTAACATATGAGGAGCGTTTGAGGACTCTGGGTCTATACCCAGTGGAGTTCAGAAGGATGAGGGGGGTTCTAATTGAAATTTACAGAATACTGAATGGCCTGAACAGAGTGAATGTTGAGAAGATATTTCCATTGGTAGAGACGAGGACCTGAGGGCACAGCCTTAGAGTAAAGGCCTTTTAGAATGGAGATAAGAAGAAACCTCTTCAGTCAGAGAGTGGTGAATCTGTGGAATTCACTGCCACAGAAGGCTGTGGAGGCAGGTCATTGAGTATATCTAAGATGGAGATAGATAGATAGGTTCTTGATTGTCAAGGGGATCAAGAGTTATGGGGAGAAAGTAGGAGAATGGTGTTGAGAAACTTATCAGCCAAGATTGATGGGCTGAATGGCCTAATTTCTGCTCCTATGTCTTATGGTCTTATAAGCCCTAATCTAATTGACTGGTAGATATCATTTCATGGGAGTGTGTGTAAACAGCTGGAATTTAGAACAATGAAAGTGTGTAAATGCATCATTTGAAATGATGATGGTCTTTGTATTAATATAATTTTGTCATACAGTAAGCAGAGGCAATAAAATTATTGTATAAAGATAATAAATAAACAATCAAATAGAGTGAAGTCCCTTTTATTCAGATTTCCCACACAACCAGCAGTTGAGAGGTGTAGATTTCCTCATGCTGGATGCTGACTGTTACTCTCTGTCCTTTTCATCACACCTCACTGGTGGTACTTATGAGTGGTCTGGGCTGCAACTGGCACATTCATCTAATGTGAGCCGGATACCGGGCTGTTTATTGTAATTAAATAACGAAGCATTTTATTGCCTGTCCCTAGTTGCACTTGAGAAGGTGGTGGTGAGTTGCCTTTTTGAACCACTGGGGAGTCAGGAGGTGAGTTACTTGCTGCAGAACTCCTAGCCTCTAATCTGCTCTGGTAGCCACTGTATGGGTTGTAGTTGAAGAATATGGGAACTTCTAGATACCAGTGCGATCTCGGAAAAACATGCCTATGGTAAGTGCTTGTAACTTCAGCTCAGAATCATTGGCCTGGGGACTGGGTTACAGACACCGCACTACCTCGGGGAAGGGAAATTTACCTGGACACTTTGTTTGAGGAGATGATCCTAGCCCCTAGGATGAGAGAGTCACAACCCTTGACATCAATGCTGAGTGTGACATCAAGGAGCCTAGAAAAATTGTAATCCGTAGGCATCAGGGCAAACCCCCCTGGTTGGAGTCACACCTGGCACTTGGGAAGATGTTTGTCATTGTTAGAGTCAGTCACCTCAGCTCCAGGACATTTCTGCGGATGTTCCTCAGGGTGGTATCATAGGACCAGCCACCTTCAGCTGCATCATCAGTGACTTTCTCTCCGTCATAAGTGGGAATGTTCGTTGAGGATTGCACAATGTTCAGCACCATTTGCAACTCCTGACAGACTGAAGCAGTCCATGTTCAAATGCAACAAGATCTGGACAATGTCCAGGATTGGGCTGACAATTGGCAAGTAACATTCACCACACAATCGCCAGGATATGATCATTTCCAATAAGACACAATCTAACTATTACCCCTTGACATTCAATAGTGTTACAATCTCTGAATTCTCCCACTATCAACAAATCCAGATAAAAGGGACTTCACTCATCCTGGGGTTACCATTGACCAGAAATTCAACTGGACTTGCTAAATACATAAGGTGGCTACCGGAGGAGGTTAGAGACTAGGAATACTGCGGCAAATAACTCACCTCCTGACTCCCCAGCGCTTCAAGAAGGCAGCTCACCACCACCTTCTCAAGTGCAACTAGGTGCAGCTAATAAAATACTGGCCAGCCAGCAATGCCTGCATCCTGTAAATTAATAAAAAACATGTTTTTTGTGATTTGGAAAGTGGTCAGTGACAGGGGGGTAGAAATGCAAGTGAGGCTGGTAAGGGGCCTGTAAAGTAACAAAAAGGAATGAATTGTTAGCACAGATAGAGATTAATCTTTGTGACCTGATTTGCATTACAAAGACACGTTCGAAAGATGAGAAAGCTGGGCTCAAATATTACATGAAATTTGACAAATTAGAATCCTGGGAAGTTTGGATAAGATGGGATAG